TTTGGGAACTGACAATGGCAAGATTGGAGCAAGAGCAGAAAATTAGAAGTGGCACCGACGTGAGATTCACCTCACCCAGTGATCATCATGTGCATTGTGAGTGTCTCTGCCTGACCTGGCTGTCTAGACTCCTTTATGTTCAGTGGGTAGACACAGGCTCATCCAGGGTGTGATTTATCTCATCCCTGGTTGACATCTGAAACAGAGAGCAGACAAGTCCTGCCCTGCAAAAGGTCTGTCCTTCAACAGAGCTTTGGTTTCTAGCTTAGACTTAGACTCTGATATTGCAGACAGACTTTGGTGAGAAGGCAAACCCCTCACTCCCACACCACGACAGAGCTGTTCCCCACAGGCTGCAAGACTTACAGTCTTGATGGATCAGAAGTGAAGCCCAGCATGGTCTACATAGAAAACACCTGATGTGTGCAAAGCAGAGTCCAACCAAGGCAGCATGAAGGGAACTGCACTGCAAGATGGGCAAAGAAAATGTCACTGCTGCAGAAGCATCCATAGCAATCCCATGGTGAGAGTTCCCGTCTCCTCGCATGGGAACTGGCATCAATGAGCCTTCCCCAGAGGTTTCTGGAGCTGTTGCCACAGAGGCTGTGAGCATCAAATCTTCCTGGTTCGCTTCTTGCTTTGCCTCTGTTGGTGGAAGTTGGGTGTGACTGTGGCTGGGGCTTTGCTCTGGCAAGGCCAGAGTGAAGATATCTCTCACCAGAGATGTGGAGGACAGCTCAGGGCAGAGCAGAGGAGGAGGAGCAGCACACACAAGTGTGGGTAGGGAGCTCTTGGTGTACAAGTGTATTTGAAGAGGTAATTTCTCCTGCCACACAACAGGACATTGACCCCCTGTTTAATTATTGTGTCATTTGCCTTTGACAGCTACTGCTGCTTCCAATTAACACTCCTAATTAAAGCCTCCAGTTCTCCAAATATGTAAGCATGGACTTACTGGGAAGAGTGATACAATGAAGGGGAAGAGCTTAGGGTTGTCTGATGAGAAATGACATTCCCTGTCCCAGTGGGACTGGCAAGTTATTTACTTCTCAGGCTGGAGTGGCAGCTGGAATCAAACCAAGATGCTCATTTCTGTCCCCACAGGAGCACCACTGTTTGTCCTACATCTAGGTTGCCCAGGGAGGCTGTGGCTGCCCCAACCCTGGCAGTGTTTCATTCCAGCTTGGATGAGCCTTGAGCAACCTGCTCTGGTGGGAGGTGTCCCTGCCCAGGGCAGGGGTTGGGGCTGGATCATCTCTGAGCTCCATTTCAACCCCTAAAATTCTATGATTCTATGATCTCATGTCCCACTAGTTTTGCATCTATGTGTGTGTGAGTGTTTCTTACCAGTGTAACTAAGATGTGCTGACCTCAGGTCCCTGGGCTTTGCTGTTCTGTCTTCCTGCTTTTTCCTGAGTTCACAGGTCGGATAATAATGCACAGGATATCAAATAGGACAGAGGAATTCCAAGTCCCTTTGTGCATGTTTCAGGCCAAACCAAAATCAGCATCTGTGCAAGTGACTGAACATCCTCAGTGACTCTGCTAAGGTGCAGAGTCTGATGCCCCCAATGGTCTCTCAGGTGGTTTTTTTTCTTGCTCAATTTAATAAACTGTATTATCATGAACTCTCTATTGAAGGCTTTGGAATAAAATGAGCTCCACTCAATCCTTGTGAGTTTCTCAGGGCTGGCTGAGGCTCCAAAGATATCCGCAGCATTCACAGAACCCACATGGCTTGACAGAGTCACTGTTGAGTGTTTTGAAACTGTATCTTTTGACTTTTGGGAAGAAAATTGGCTACTTAAGATGCCTTTTTGTACATTAAAATTAACTTAGTCCATCAGGCTGAATAAATCCTGCTGCTGTATTAACTTCCAATTATAACAGCAGAGATTGAGCAATGATTCACTTTTTTGACCAGAATGTTGGAAGTTTAAGGGGGAAGAGGAAAAAAAAGTCATGTTGAAATAAAATTAAAAAAGTCCAAAATGGGAGTCAGAAAATTATGACTGAGCACATAGCAGGAGCTTTTGTGAATATATTATGGCACAAGCAGGAGCCAAATTTCTAACAGGATTAGCTGTTACTGTCTATCAGATCCAAAGGAACTCAATCATTTTTGTTTTAAATGACTTTCTGTAACTCATTTGTACCAGAAATTGAGGGCAGAAGGAAGATTGGGAGCTGCAGTTTGGAATTTAGGATGGATCAGAAGAGAGGTGTAAATGACTCTAAACTGGCTCTAAGTGCCCCAAAGTGAAGGACACATTGATTTTGTTACTCCTCTGTCTGCTGAAACCCTGGTTGTATTTGGACAATGCTCTCAGGCACACAATGGGGTTCTTGGGGGTGTCCTGTGCAGGGCCAAGAGTTGGACTTGATGATCCTCATGGGTCCCTTCCAACCCAGGGTGTTCTCTGGTTCTGTATTTGCTGCAGGATGTTGAATCCAAGTTCCATCCCAATGAAGGACCAGCAGTAGGGAGACCTCAGTGAGGTTGGGAAATAACCTTGGAAGGTTTATCAGACCTTCCAAGGATGGAGAAGAGGTGGCAGGAGTAATCACAGCCTAGTTTGCCATGGAAATTTCAACCTTCAGCACTGTCTGGTCCCTTCATCACAGTGACTAATGGGAAGGCTCTGTAATTGGGAGGCTGCATGGACTTCCCTTTGCCAGATATTTTAGCAGCAGCACAAAAAGCTGACTGATCCCTGGGGGGCACAGTTAGTTCTCAAAACTTTCAGCTTGGAAAGCTGAGCTGAATTAATTACAGTTTATGTTCCAAAAAAAAGGAAAATAAGACCTGTGATGTGCCTTATTTGCTTGATGTTCCTTCTCTTTTCAGCAGACGACCCTTAGGTGGCTTTTCTTTCAGTCACAGCTCCTTTGTTTGGGTTTTTTTTGTGCTTTCCTTCTTCATTAATTAGAAGGTCTGACACTTCCAGCCCAAGACATTTATCAGCATGGTACAGTTTTAATTAATCTCCCTATAAAGCTGCTTGAGGTGAACTCAGAAAAGGTCTGAGATAGCAGGAATAACACAGCAGTGCAGATGGTGACACAGGACAACTACTGCTCTGGTGTGCTTGGCAGGGTGTGGGATGGAAGCTCATGGCACAGAGCTGGGACAAGCAGCACAAGCAAGGTGTGCTCCTAAAAAACATAGAGAGAGAGACAAACTACCCTAAACACACTGAAAAGAAAACATTCCTGCAAAGATGGAGTTCTGGATTCCCAGTTGGTTCCTCCTGCCTCAGAAAGGAGCTCAGATACCCTTTGATGGCTAATTAAATAATATTAAAGCCTAAGAGGCCAGTTTTTATCTACTCTTTTTGTAGCAATTTGCAAAGAAATAACAAATTTCAGTCCAGTAGGACTTTTTTCCTGTACATGTATCATAGCCACAAGTGGATGTTGACTCAAAACATTCAAACTCCACATCCCTAGATGTTGAAGAAGTTCATGTTCTGGTCTAAACTTCATAGAAACATAGAATTTAGGGGTTGGAATGGACCATACAGATCATCCAGTCTCAACCCCTGCCCTGGGCAGGGACACCTCCCACTAGGTCAGGTTGCTCAAGGCCTATCATAGACTCATGGAGGTTGGAAAAGACCTTTCAGATAACCAAGTCCAACCATTAACCTATCACTGCCAAGTCCACCATAATTACAGAAGGTCAAATCACTCCATCCCTGTATTAATCTTCTCACTTTCCTTGCTCTGTAGTCTGTCCTCATTATGTTCTATGCTCATGGCAATAGATTCAGTTTGATAAAAGTGGTTTTGGTGTTGGTTCCTGTTTGGGTTTTGTTCTCCACATTCTCACTCTGTCATTAAAAGCTTTTAGTAGCCACAGTTGGTTTCTCTGGGTGACTTGGCACAGGCAGTGGTGTAATGGAAAATAAACCCCATCATATTTCTACCTGACATTTCTCTAAAGCTCCTGCCACCTGCTCGAGGAAAAATACAGATTTTCAGCTTTTCCTCACAGACTATCAACTACCACTTGGGATTTCTGTGTAGAAGTGAGAAACACAACTTCTGATGCAAATAGAAAAGGTCTCCATACATAGCTGGAACTTTGCCTGCTGTATATTTATATTAAAGAAACCCAAAGCTAGTTCTTGGTTCATTTACAGATGCAATCAAGGATGGATCTTCATCTGTCACTTCACAGCTCAAACTCTCCTGACTGTTGTGCCAAGTAAAAGATTGTCCCTGGGATCCAGGTGCATTCCCTTGTCATTTGTCATGAGTAACTGTTCCGCAGTTTAGAGCTGGCAGTTCCTAGTGGTGTTTCATCAGGATAATACCACACTATATCATCTGAAGGAATAAACTCTCCCTGCTGACAGGAGCTGGGGTGAAGGCACTGGCAATTGAGTGTATGTTAGAGAAGTTCTCTGAAGCTTATTCAGTGGGAAAGAGACTATCAGGTCATTGGGCCCAAATTGTATGTTTGGCTTCAAAAGAAGTAAAGGGCTTACAAAGCCTGAGAGGAATCAAAAGGTGTTGGTCTGTTAGACAGGAGGTCAAGCTAGACAGTCCCTTCTGCCTTTGAAATCTCTGACTGAAATACTTTAATTAAAAGGGAAGAAATAAAGGGGGGAAAAGGTAATGAATTGCAGTATTTTGGCAGTAGATGGGTGTTTCAGGTCCACATCTAATACCTTCTGAGCTGCAAAGGCAGGGTGACAGCAAGCTCAGCCAGTACCCAGGCTGAGCCTCTTTCTTTTCCTGCTGGGAACAGCCTCTCCAGGAATGGGACAACTGGTGGTTGGAAACGTGCATGGGCAATGGGGAGTGGAACTAATGCTCCTGGGACCACCAGGGGAGTGGTGGTGCAGGAGGTCATGGGAAGAAGATAAAAGGCATCACCAGACCTCAATTCTCACAGGAAGCCAGAAAGCAACAGGGCCCACACCCAGAGTGTAGGAGAGCACTGAGACCCTGTGGGGTGAACTTGCTGACAGGTTGTCCCTTTCCTCCCACAGCTCACTCGGGTGCCGGTGGAGTCGTGTAGCCAATACGAGACCTGCAGCGAGTGCTTGGGCTCAGGAGACCCTCACTGTGGATGGTGTGTTCTTCACAACATGTGAGTACCTGCTGGTGGCTGCCACCACCCCAGCTCTGCTTTTCCACCAACAATCTTCCCTCAGCAGCTGTGGTAACACATGTAGAGGTGCAAAATGCTGTCTCAGTCCTCAGCTGAGCCAGGTGAGCTGAGGGGTCACCCAGGAACCTCCAGCAAGGTCTCTGGGACTTGTTGGGGGAGTCACTGTTTAGCTGAGAAGGATGTTTTGGAAGACAAGGGAAGAGAAGTGTGGTAGAGGCTGGATAGATCTCCAGCACATGATCCATGGGCTGCTGACTGCACCAGGACAGCACCTGTCCACCCTGATGTGCTTTGAATCAAACTCCTGCAGCTCTTCTCTTTAGCTTCTTGTTTGCATTCCTTAAGGCAGTTTGGCTCTGACTAGTAGCCCTTGTCTCAGCACCTCCAGCTGAATGTCTCCTCTTTTGGACTTGTCTTTATCTCTATTGCCTTTAGAGAGGAATCAGATCCCTGTAAGCATCATGACATCAAGTCAAGGACCTTCTGGTCTGTATGCTTACTGTGGGAAGATGTTGACCCTGAAGTTGAATGTTTGTCCTGTGTGGATCAACTCAACGGGGCCAAATGAGCACAAATAGATCCAACTGCTCATTTGGCTCATATGGACATGATGATGGGAAAATCTGTCTCTACCCACATTATTCAGCTTCTTTATAACAGGTCAAGAAAGGTCCTCATTTCACCATGTCTTTATTCTGCTGTACTTTATTCTGCTGTACTTGTCCAGTGCCTCTCAAGGAGCACTGAGTCCAGGTGTCCTCAGGCCTGGGAGAGTAGTTCACTGGCTTTGTTTTCTCTAAGTTTTTAATGATGATATTGATCTTGAAGTTTCCTCTCTGCCAGTGATCTCCTCCTGCAGAGAGCCCTCTGCCAAAGCTGTGGAGAGGGAGGTGGCAGGTTGGCTGAGCTCCTGGCTGTGAGTGGCAGGGTGGGCTCACTTGCCAAGAACCTCTCAGCAGAGACAGTGGCTGGAAAGTGCATTGGATCTGTCTAACCAAACATCTCCAGCTGAGTGTGGCTCTGCAGGGTGCTGTCACTCCAAGGCTCACAGTGTCCTTGGCAGCCTGGGAGGGTTTTTCTGATGGACCCTGATATTGTAGTGTGTTTGTCTTCTCCTGCTGAGTTCACCTCTGGATTCTTCCTGTTGCATTGCAAACTGTCCTGCTGGAGATGATGACAATGACCTAGTTGAAGTGATGCTCTTTGTACTTCTTTCTGGAATAGGGAGCAAACCTGTACCATATTCCAACCTTCTGTCCATGCTCTTCAGCTTGTGTGATCCACATCCAAACCCACGACAATCTGCTTAATTTCAGAGCAGATCTAGGGGATCCATCCCAAAACATGTCCATGTGGGATGCATCACCACTGCCTCCTGCACAAGAATCTCTGAGGCAACATGCCATAAGCATTTCCCTTCCTGACTCCTTTCCTTTCCCTCTCCCCTCCCAGCCAGGAATCCCAGGGGATTTCCACTGTGTGGCAGAGTCCATGTGGGAGCTTGTGGAAGGTACAGAGGAAGCGGTTGGGCTGTGGAAGACCTGGGGTAGAGTAGGACTGGGAACCAGATTGTCTGTGGGCAAAGCCATAGTGTCCTATCATCTCTCTCCTCCAGTACAAACCACTAGGAGTCACAGTGGTGGACTGTGAGACAGGCAAAATCTGCCAGGTGGGGTATAGCATCCATTTTTTCATGCTATCCTAGAATTTTAGGAGTTGGAATGGAGCTTAGAGATGATCCAGCCTCAACCCCTGCCCTGGGCAGGGACACCTCCCACCAGAGCAGGTTGCTCAAGGCTCATCCAACCTGGAGTGAAACACTGCCAGGGTTGGGACAGCCACAGCTCCCTGGGCAACCTGGGACAGTGTCTCACCACCCTATGATACTGTGATCACTGCAGGATGAAACAAGAGGAGTCAGAGCTTTTGTCTCTCAAGTGTGTGTCTTTTTGGGGACTGTCCCTTCAAGGGCTGCTGCAGCCCCTCTTGCCCAGCTCCTCGTGTCCAAGCTGCTCTCAGCTCCAGCCACCTGTGAGGGCTGGGGACACCTGGGGACAGCTCTCCGTGCAGCATCTCAGGGCTGAGCTGTGCTGTCTGCGCTCAGGGCGACGTGCCAGGGCTCGGGAATCGATTTCCACAGCTCTGCTGGCCTAACCTTACACCGAGAAACTCGAGTCCTCTGAGAGAGAAAGAGCCAGACAGACCCACAGACAGCTGCAGGAGAGGAGAGGGGGAGGATTGATTGGCTTCTAACCCCGAGAAGAGCAGAGCCGACACGGAGCAGGTCACTGGAGCTCTTCATCTCTCTATCTTCCCCCGATCTTGTCCCCCTCCCTTTCCCTGCTGCAGCTCTGCTCCCCTCCTGGGCTCTGCTCAGGCCTCTTTAGGCAGCAATGAATCATTTAGGTGGTGTAAATTGAAATTGTGATGCTGAGTTGCTGCACAGGTCTCTGGGGGAGGGCGAAGGGCTGTGGTGGGAGCAGAGGGGAGGAACCAGGCTGAGAAACTAATAGCTGGCACAGAGCACTCAGTGCCTGCTGCAAGGTCACAGCAATGTCCCCAGCCCTAAGAGGAGGCTGCAGAGAGGGATGAGAGCAGAGAGAAGTTTGCTGCAGGCCTGGAACTAGTTTAGCAGCTTCCACCTATGTGCAGCAGCGCTCAAAGGTGCTACCCAACGTCTGATGATCTCTAAATCACCCTGGCAAGTTACCTCTGTCTCCATCCACATCCAAACTATAACCATTTTCTTTCTTCTTTTCCACTCACATGCAGAGGGGCAGTAAGAGCTCAGGCTCTTCACACCCAGAGGAGGGATAAACCCTTCAGCAGCTGAATGAGCCTTTGCTAGGTCTAGGTAGGATATTAGGAAGAAATTTTTCCCTGGGAGGTGCTGAGGCACTGGCAGAGGTTGCCCAGAGAAGTTGTGGCTGCTCCACCCCTGGGAGTGTTCCAGGCCAGGCTGGATGGGGCTTGGAGCAGCCTGAGCTGGTGGGAGGTGTCCCTGCCCAGGGCAGGGGTGGGATGAGATGAACTTCAAGGTCCTTCCAACCCAAACCAGTCTATTATTCTCCGCACACACACTGCTCCATGTGCACATGGCCACCACAGAGATTTCAGCCCTGCACACTATCCCTGGGCTGTGTTTAACACCCCAGCTGCCAGCAGAATGGGAATTTGGGGCAGAAGAGCCACATCCCTGCAGAGACAGCCAACATTTTATGACAGGGCAATACACAGACCTTGCTGGCTGCAGAAGGGA